TCGCTTGTCGACGACATAGAGCCTATCTGTTACGCGACCAACATTAATCAAGCGGATAGGACGCGTCCAGATCAAGTTCTTCTCACTTTCGCTGGCCTATTCCGCCATTTCTCGAATCACCCCGATCGTTCCGTCTCCAAAAAAATGCTCGCACGAATCGAGAAGCGGTGGGCGGCATTAGACCAGCCGCTTTTTATTCTCTGCCTAATTCTCAACCCGTACGAAGGCCTTGAACGTTTTGGTGACAAGGCTGGGATCAATGTGTTCGTGCTCAACACGGAATTAGTTGCGGTATCGATTTTGTTTCATTGTGCTGTTCAGATGTTGACAATCCATGTTTACAGCTCTTCCGGCGTGTTCGTTCCAAGCCACGGGATGTTCCTCGGCCCGTGGAGGAAGATGCTCGACGAGAGAAAGATCTCTCAACCGCGTTCATGCAATATCTCCAGGGAACCGGCCCGTTTGTATCTTGGCGGGCGAACAAGGAAGAGTTTCAAAAGCAGCACGTGGGTGAAGTGATCTTGGCCCATAATTTATTCAAAGCTCACAGTCGCCGCAGCCGGATGACCCGCAATTGGTCTGGGAACAGCTCAAGACAACTGAAGGTGTCCAGGACCTCGCTCGTTTTGCCATATTGTTGCTCGGGCTCGTTGTTAACCAAGCCCCGAATGAGCGCAGTTTCTCCGATTTGAAGATTAAAAAGACGCGCCTCCGTAATCGGCTTGGCACGAAGAAATTGGAGAAGATGTCAAAGGTATCAAACGCTCCCATTGACGCATCTTAACACTGACAATTATTTTTATAAGCTCGGAGCCGATATCCGCAGCGAAAATATAGCGGCCGGGCTCATTCATGAGCGCACTGCCCGCGAGGTTCATGACCCAACACAGGTCTCCGGACTCCTCAGTGTTCCTCGATATGCTGATGCTCTGGATGCTGACGACGATGAGAGGGATGGTAGGCGCCCTTCGAAATTGGTCAAGACCGCAGTCAATTGGCGAGTGCAAGTCAACAAATGGGTAAAGGATGCCCAGGAAAATGAGGACTCACTGGATGAAGTAGAAAATTCTGAGCCGGAGGGAAGCCGCCCCCGTCCGACGAAGTTCTTTCCTCGTTCCCTCGCACTGCTATTCGGGGGTAACGTAAAAAACCCGGTCGCAAAACCCCGACCAACGCAGTTCACGAAGGAGGTTTTGATGATGGAACTTCTAGCGGCAGAGGAGAGCGACGAAGAACCAGATGACGGGGCTCTCTCGGGGTCAGGAGACGACTTTGAAATGTAGATTGGGCGCTACACCCTACTATAATACGTACTTTGTCCATTCTGCCGCTTTAGGAAATTTTGTCCTTAAGGCTTAACTAAGCTACCCTTAATTAACCCTTATTAAGGGTCTTAAGGCTTAACAAAAAAAAACACCCTTATTAACCCCTTAATACGCAACACTGCTTTCGGACGGAGTGGTGCGACATCGCGCACGCACCACTGCCTCCACTCCACTTCGTCTTCACACCGCACACCGCCTCGATTTCGCTCTGCACCCCGCTTTCAGGTCCCCGCCCGCTACGCCATCTTCATCTGTCTCACGATACCTACGCATACACGCGCGGACCTGTCCCTCGTCTCCTCGTCTCACCCTCTCTTCCGTTGTCGCCGATACTTCCCACTACCTGTCGACGATACGGGGTCTGGTAAAAATGACGCGGCAGCGGCGCGCACTGACGCGCACTGACGCGCAACTGACGCGGCAGTGACGCGCTGTGACGCGGCGGTGGCTGTGCGATTGATGCGCAGCGGCGCGCCGCCTCTAGCTCATCATTGAACATTCCTTCAAGCACAATTTGAGTGCGAGCAATGTTTTTACGGCCCAATACATCATCTGAGCACAAAAAATCCAAAACATAAATTTTGGTCACTGCGGAATAAACCATGACAATTCTTGCTTCTTTGAGCACTTTAGAGACTTTACTCGGTCAGCAGGTCATCAGTTTGAAGGTTAAACGATGTTATTCTATGACAGTGAGTCCTAAGAAGGAAACTCCAGTGGTTGTCGAACATAGGTCCCTCCCTGTGCATGGCAAACTTGGATGCAAGCATCAGTAGTACTGTGTAGCTTCCTGATGTTTCCCCCAGCGGAGATTTGGGCCCACATCACTAAATGGATAGGTGTGCAGGCCTGGGATACCCTCATCGTCAGTAATATCATGAGAGATCCCCTGGGGCTGCACAATTTTTGAGCAACTGTCTGGTTGAATTAAAAGTTCAGTATTCTTGGGCCATTTCGTGTTTCCCTCTTGGAATTTGCCCATGCGGCCGGTGATGATGGAACTCATGAAGACGCTAGGTCAACTTATGTACACCGTGAATTGTGTATGTATTCATGCAACAATTGGTCTTCTACAATTGTTCATTCACTCAAGTCGTAACTATGAAATGATTAGTGCATACAGATGAAGATATCCAAGCACACATCGGGGTCTGGTAAAAATGGCGCGGGGGCGGCGCGCACTGACGCGGGGGGGCTGTGCGATTGACACGGACCGGCGCGCCGCCTCTAGCTCAACACCCAACGCTCATTTCAGCGAAATTTGAGTGCGAGGAACATTTTTATGCCCCAATACATCCTCTGAGCACAAAAAGTCCAATCTCAAATTTTGATCACTCTAACTAGACATCGACGGTTCTTGCATATTTGAACACTTAATGCTCTTCGCTCGGTCAACAGGTCACCACTTTGAAGGCTAGATGGAGTTACTGTATGAGCCTGAGTTCTCTGCAGTCCCAAGATATATATACATCGGCAAATTGGGAGTCCAGTGCAACTCTCTAAACTTTCTCTCCATGAGAGAGTTGGACAACTTGGACCGCAAAACACCGAGGCGTGTAGGCCTCGGATATATTGATTGAGTGATACAATGATTGACAGGTTGCTCAGACTTCTGACCAACTCTGGGGTTGAGTTTCAAGTTCAGTAATCTTTAGCCGTTTCATCTGAAGGAATTTGCCCATTATGCACCTGCGTGGTCCAGTACTCCTTCTTCAATCCCATATGCTGCATCTTTTAACGGATTAATTTCCTGCATGGACTTCTTGGACTGACATTTTTGTGGCCAATCTGAGTAGCCTCTTCTATGATCCCGAGCAATTGCACTTTTCCTAGGAGGCAGTTCAATTGCGAAGATTTTCAACCACGTGAGAGCTCAATAGGCATCTGAAACTACCTTGAGCAGAAATAAGGGCTTGCCGTTCATTCTCCAGACTCAACCTCGAAATTTATGAGAGTAGATGTTTGTTTCTCTGCTGTACTAAACTGCATTGAATTGTACAGTTGCTGTACCAATATATCCCAATGAATCTAATTCGGCTGGTTAAGCTCGATCAGCCCGGACAATTGACTCTTCTGCATGGCATGTTAGCAATTGCTTGCAGACCAAGAGACTCGGGATTAGTCATATGCTGCCCATGTGCCCATCCATCATGTATTGGTGGTATGTAGCATTCGAGCACCTCGTTGACATGAGCTCTTATAGTTATCATCTGAGTGTGAAATCTTGGCCCACTCTGCACATACCTGGCAGCATTAGTCAACATCCCCCACCTCAAGGATTATTCACTCATCCTGCTCACACTCACCAATGTATTATAATTATGTGGTGTATGCGTATATAAGCCCGGTACTACAGTAATCGAGGAATTCAACTCCAGGCAGAACCAGCACATTTGCATTTGATTCTGTGGGCTGTATTCAGAGCTAGCTTCTCATAAATTTACCATCTCCAACTGCATATGAAGCAAGCCATACTGACCATAGGCAGCAGGATTGAATCCATTCACCTCCAAATCTCACTGGGCTTTTTCAGCAAGTTTTGAGTTGCAGTAGGCCAATATATTGAGGGTCGGGGAGTAGGACAGTGGGTGTAGAGTATCTGAGAACAAAATCTTGTTCATAAGGCATGAAATATCCCAATTGAATGAATACATATAGGTCCCATTGACGCGCTGGTGGCTGTGTCATTGACGCGGCGGTGGCTGTGTTGACGCGACACTGACGCGACACTGACGCGGCACCGGCGCGCACTGACGCGGCAGTGGCGCGCTTTGACGCGGACCTGACACCAAATATACACAACACAACTGGGTGTTACTGAGCCCGAAAACCATTGGAAAAAATGTATTTCTCCTCCACCAGCCTTTGCAAGGTCCGAACTCCTATTTGAACTGAGTTCGAACCCAACAGCCGAGGAGTTCAGCTCCCAATGTTGTGTATAAGGTGTACGACACCATTATAAAGCTGCCTCTGGGACTCAAGACACGTTACAGAGCTAGCAAACTGAATTTGAATTGTAAACCATGATAAAATATACACTGGGCATACCGTGGGAAATGGCGCGTCAATGACGCGTCAGTGCCGCGTCAATGGTGCGTCACCGCGTCATTTTCTCCTGACCCTACTGTACAGCCGTGTGTAATCTGCCCCGCCCGTTTGTCTTAACGCGCTATCCGTGGATCCTTGCGTGCCGTGCCAGCTTAAGGTTCTGTTGGTGTGGCTCGCGTCCGGCCGTATCTTCTTCTCTTTCTGCATCGCCTGAGTTGTCTGCATCTGCGTCGAGGCTACCCTCCTTTGCTCCGTTTCTGTCAGGCGCATACGCGACTTACATGAATAACCGCAGAGCTGCGCACATTGACACGGTATGGCTCCGGGCGGGCTCGCCGTCTCCTTCCCTTCATTCCTTTTGAGGCAGAAAAAGGGAGGCGTGGGAGCGCGCTGAGATGCTCCACGGAGGCGTGCAGGTAGCTATTCGGAGTGCGCAAGGTGCGTTGATCCCGCGCGTTAAACGAGAGAAATGACTGCCTGAGTTGGCACTGCGCGTCAGACAGACGGAGTACCGAGTTCTCTGCATGGTGCATCCGGCTTTACCTACTCTCACACGCTGCTGATGTGCTGACCTTCTGCGCTCGTACCGACATACGGTGAAAAAAAAAAATTCTGGGTCTTCAGGAATGCCTCCGGGCGGGGTCGAACCGCCGGCTCTCCCTTTCACGTTGGTGTCCTTGCCATTCAACGGGCGGGAGCGAGCTACACTGCTCAACGAAGGCTTGCTGGGATGCCTAAGAGAGTGGATACTAGTAGGTTATGTGCGTTTGACGGGAGGAATGACTGGCTGTCACAATATCCCTCGCAACCGCCAGGTCTTCTCTGGAGAGCGTTTTCGGATCCGCGCCTGCCAACCCGAGTCTTCTCTGAGTTTCTGCATCCCGCTCTACCGACTCTGCACGGGGAAGCTGACACATCGCCTTTCTGCGCGCTGTGCCCACCCCACTCGAATAAAAAACTTGATGCCGTTCACAGGTGCGTCCGGGCGGGGTCTTCACGCAAACAGACGGAGAGGGCGAGAGTGATCTTGCCTGCTCCATGAAAACTTATATGATTTCAGGCCGTTTCTGCGATAAATGATGTCTAGCATGGTCCGAGTATGTTCAAATGAGCTGATTTTTTGCAGCAGAGGATTTAGAAAGATGTGATAGAGCCAGAAATCCAGATAATTTAGGCTATGATGCCTGAAATCACCTCGGGACAATGGGCAACACAGTAGGATTAGGAAATAGTGTGAGAATTGAAGCCACAAATGAGCCTTGAGGACTTTTAACTCTATGACAGATTTGACAATGTATGTGAGTCTCAAAAAAATCAGCTCATTTGAACATACTTGGACTATGCTAGACATCATTTACCGCAGAGACAGCCTGAAATCATATATCATTCAATATAAGGTATCTTTACAAGTTTCTTTCTATTGCGCATGAATTAGGCCCGAAAACCTAGTTAGGTTTCATCTGAATCTGTCAAGAACTGACCGAGTTTGAGGGGATTCTTTGAAAATGCCTCAAACGGGAAAAAGTTTGGTCGCGCCTTCGGTACTGCCAATAGCTGTAAACTTATACATTTCAAATTTTCCTTCTCAAGACACTCCAGTCCGCCAAACATTAGTAATACTCTAGAGTAAGAACACATTTCCATCGATACTAACTGCACCAAACATTTAGGGACTTTACTTCTTGAATTGGGTCCTATCGCTTGCTCAGCAAGGCTTCTGCCTCATTTCGCTCAAGTATACATTCAAACATGGGAATTAATCGTGGGAATGTATATAAATAACCCAGTTCTACTCTGGCTGAGTATCTCGTCAGCCCTCACTCATTGTTCTCCTTCTATATTTCTAGCAGCGCACTCAAACCGAATGTCTCTCAATTTCTCCGTGAATATGATGGATATCAAGCTGTCGAACTGTTTTCATCTCAGAACTTTCCTTGGGCAATTTTCGAGGCAGATTTTATCTGTATGCACCTAGTACGTAGACCTTCTCGGAACGTCCCGAATTTCCCTTATGAAGTGCCCAGGAGGATTTTCTTTTTTGTAGTCCATGTCTCCGAGATATGTCTGATTGGTCTGTTCAGGCTTGAATTTACAATCTTGACCTTAGGAACCAAATCCTGAGCAGGATGTAGAAAGGTGAGGAAAGCGATGGATCAATATAATGAAAACAACACAATCGCCTGACTCCCAATTAAATTTCGCTGTACATCGGGAAGTCAAATCTCTGATGGAATTGATTCAATGACAAAACGGTACATACTCACCGGAAATGGCCACCATGCCTCACTCACTTCCTGGGCCTTCCAATGGCCAATTGTTCAATTGTCGTGGACAACCGATGAGCGGTGTCCACGGTGTCTGGATGACCCTCACCTAAGACCCGCCGGCACGCATTCAAGGCCAGCTCCTGAAGCTCGCGGGCCTCTGTGAGGCGACCAATTTGGAAACATGTGAGCCCCAAATTTGCCAGACTGCGTAGAGTATCTGGATGATCCTCGCCAAGGAGTTCTGTTTGCTTATTCAAGACCACTTTCTCTAGCTCAGCAGCCTGGTGAAATTGTCCCATGTCTGAGTAGGTTCGGGCTAGCCTGCCCATGGTCCTCAAGGTAGCTGGATGACTATTTCCCAAAACATTCTTGTGCTTGCCCACAACCACTTTCTGCAGTTCTGCAGCCTCATGAGACTGTCCCAGCTGTGAGTATCTGATTGCCAGGTTTCCCATGGCCCTCAGAGTATCTGGATGATCCTCACCGAGGAGGTCCTTGCGCTTGCTCAAGACCACTTTCTCTAGTTCTGCTGCCTCATGGACTTTTTCCATCCGTGCGTACCTGATTGCCAGGTTTCCCATGGCATTCAGAGTGTCTAGATGATCCTCGCCAAGGAGTTCCTTGCGCTTGGTCAAGACAAATTTCTCCAGTTCTGCAGCCTCATTAACCTGCCCCATCTGCGAGTACCTGAGTGCCAGGTTTCCCATGGCCCTCAGAGTGTCTGGATGATCTTCACTGAGGAATTCCCTGCGCTTGTTCAAGACCACTTTGTCCAGTTTTGCAGCCTTGTGAAACTGGCCCATGTCCGAGTAGCTGTTTGCCAGGTTTGCCATGGTGGTCAGAGTATCTGGATGATCCTCACCAAGGAGTTCCCTGCGCCTGTTCAAGACCATTTTTGCCAGTTCTGCTGCCTGGGGAAACACCCCGCTGTTGTGATACATAATGGCTAGAATCTCTTGAATGTCGAGAGTTTGATGTTTGTTCAGCTGCAGTGATCGGGCTTGCAGGATGGATTTTCCCAGACGAACCCCCTCCCGCCACTTTCCTTCTTCATGATATACCCGGAGACACTGTGATGCAAATGAGGTGTCGAGGATGTTAGGCTGTCGGCTCAAATCCAGGTCCATCTTGAACCAAAGTGCATCAAGATGGGGAAACATTTGGTGTGAGAATTGAAAATCATCGCCCCTTGAGGACAATGACATCCCTATCAGTTTGTGCATGCACAGTTCAGTGGGAGCATCTGCTTCCAGGATGGCCCTGCACCATTCATGCACCAATGGATGAATTGAGAAGCTAATGTCTCCCGAGGCAGCCTGAAAGTCAATCAAGGAGAAGCGTCCAAGCTCATCAGTAAGTGCTATAAACTTGAGTGAATCCCACTTGGAACCTCTACGATCAAGGAATTTGGCCAAGAATCCCAATGGCTCATGTAGGTCAACTTCAGTGGGTCCTCCAGGCTTCAGCTTGTATGATGCAGCTTGTTGAAAGATATCCTCTGTTATCCCATCATGATGGATGAAGGAGCAAAGTTGAAGGAGCTCCCTCGCCTGGCTGGAAACGTTCTCGAAACTGATCTGCCACGTTGCATAAACTGACCACCCATACTCTGATTGGGGTGGCCGTTGATTCAGCAACTGAATTCTGCTGGTGGTACTTTCATACAAGTCAAGATATTTTTCAAGGGAGCCAGACAAGGAAATATATGCCCCCGCTTGTGCCACAGCCAAGGGGAGCCAATGGAGTTTCTTTTCAATTGTTTAACTGAAGCCTGATATTGCAGAGATGCAACATACCTGAACAATTTGCTTGCCAAGATCTCTGTTATTGTCATCCATGATATCATATTGAGCAGCAGATAAGAGCAGATTGATTGCTTCCTCAAGTGCCATCTGCGCAACTTTGTGTGTGGCCTGTGCAAGCTGACGGAGGTCGGGATTGCGGGAGGTGATAAGGATGTTTCCATGAGAACCGGGAGGAAAATACTGCATGAGGTTGAGATGGATGTCATCTGCATTGTTGAACACAATCAACCATTCTGTGTGCTGGTGTGATAGCCAAAGCAAGGTATCTTGGAAAGTTTTCCCAACTTTCTTGGTGAGGGCAAGTGTCATGAGATCATTTTCGATCGTTTGCTGAGAGCTGCTATCGACAAAATAAACATCTTGAAACCTGGGTTGGTTTATAAGATTGAGTCAGATTGGACATTAAATATAGCATACCGTGAGTGTGGCATACTGGTAGACTGCTCAACAAATTTGAAGGCAATTTGGCTTTTCCCACAGCCTCCAAGCCCATGTAACAGGAAAATATGTTGTCGACCAATGCCTGTGTTGAAATATTGCATCATCTTTTGGAGAATATCCTCTCTTCCAGTGAAACGGACATTCGGGGGTGGGCAAACTTTCAGATAGGCCGGGGAGTCAAATATTGGAACCACTGGATCTACCAAATCAGCCCATAAGCAAAGCCATGCATGAAGCCCGCAGGAACTCACTGAGGGCAACATTCACGGCACTTGTGAGTTTGAATTTTCCATCTTCTGTACTCAGATAAACACTAGTATGTGCAGAAATTTCCCCAGATCTTCTCCAGTCTTGTTGCTGGAAGCCCTGCAGACCCTGGAGGACGTTGAGGCGAAAATAGGTATTGGGACTGCCACGAAATCTGCGCGCATTGTCCTCATGTATCCGTTCGCAGTCAGTTGCAATGCTTTTCAGGGTCTTGGCAATGGTAGCCAAACTTGGGGATCTTGGAATCTGGATTGTGTCAGGATGCCCACTGCCAATGCTGACGACAAGGACGACAGGCCATGAGGGGTACATTTGTTGGGCTTCTGCCACAACCAGGGAGGTCGGGTTGTTGTGCCCAACACATCCACCAATGTACTTTGGCCTCACCCCTTCCCAGCCAATTTCCATTGGTTTGAAAAGTCCGGGTGTAGCAGAGGTGGCCCGTGCGGCCTCCCATATCCTGCAATCATGGACTGGCTCCTCTGGGGTATTGTATGAGCGAAAAAGCACAGGAATACTGGCATTCAGATTGCTTTCATGCATGGCACACACAAAGCTGGGGGTTGCATCCAGATAAGTGTAGTTTCTCTTGATGAGAGATAATTATACTCACATCTTGCAGGCATCTGGGCTGACATCTCTCATCTTTTCTTCTCAAAATATCTGCCTTAGTGCCGCTTCCAGCTGGCTGGCTTTGAACTGCTCAGTGGATCCACTTTTGGGCTTAGGTCGAAGCTTCTCATATGCTGAAATGGAAGCAGAGATCGACCTGCGGAGGCGGCCGAGCATTAATGCAATGATCCTGTAAATTGCATCAATTTCAGCACTTTCCCAGCAAATAACACTCACCCTCCTGTGCCACTACCCCCGATAACCTCGAAATAGTCACATGGCGCAGGAGCTGTGTCGGAGCCAAGGGTGGTCTGCACTTGATACATCATT